TTCACATAAATTACGGAAGTATATCGATGGTCAAATTAATGATTCAGTATACAATAAATCCAATTTTTTGGTTAATGTGCTTCTAAAACCAGCGTCTTTAGATATGCAAATTGCAACTTTAGTTTGAAACTGGCTCACCTTGTATACTAACATCTTTACAGTCTGTTTGCGGGTTCTCATAGCCCATTTTAAACACACATCTGGATGCTGGCTGAGATTCAGTCCACACTTATCATCTCCCAATAATTGATGAAAGTTGCTGTTTTCAGATCTCCCAGATTTACACACAAAATCTAGCTCTTCTGGTGTTGTAAAACAAAATGCTGCCTCCTCTTTAACATATTCCATCTTTTTCTTGAGAGCTTCTTTTTTCTGCGAAATTTTTTTCTCAGCACTGTATTCTCAATTAACTCCATCCCATTGTATTTCCAATCACTTGATAGAACATAGTTTGGATCAAGGAATGATTCTAGTAGTTTTTCATGAATTACACGACGTTCATAGGAGCTAGATTTTAATTCAGTTCTTTGCCCTAAAAAAACAAAAGCATTTATTTATATAAAAATACATGTTTGATATATTCCACTATTCTGAGAAGATTTTATTAATTTTATTAGTGTCTCACAAAGCAAATGAAAAAAAATTACTACACTTGTTAATAAATCTGATGTAGGGTCTCTCATGCAATATCCTCTATACATACATTTAATTTATAATTATTCCTAAACACTCAGAATCAACAGTTTTACTTTCAAGGCTGCATCCAGATCCTGCATTGGGATTGGCCAATCTGTAGTCGCATAGGGCTCGGCAAAAACTAGCAACAAATTATCAAAAGTTTCAAGATGTTGAAAGCTTTTTCGTTTGTTGTATTTCCTGAAAACAGCTAACCCCAAATTCACTGAACGAAACTAACTACAGTACTCACATCTTGATTTACTAGATTTACCAGTTTCTTTTTCACATCTTTTCTCCATAATAATATTGCTATTCTGGTCTTTTGAAAGCCCCTTTTCCACATCATCACGCAATACAGCATTTTTTTCGGCTGATTGAGATTGTTCATGATTAGAAATGTGATCATCATCAACAACATTGGTACTTTCTCCAAGTTCATTGTTCTTGCCAAAAGTTTCCTGTGGTACTCTCAAAGTTTGCCTTTTGGATTTCTTCTTAGTCTCACTTTGCAGTCTAGGAATCGAAGGAAGAGTACCCTTTTTCCTTAATGAGATGATCGCATATGGAAGACAGTTACTTGGCATCTTCTTTGGCAGGCAGTCTTCATCATCATATTCATACAAGAAAATCTGAGAAGGATACAAGTGGAATGATCACATGATCAATTTGCTTATGATAATTTTTTATGATGCCTTTGTAATGTTATCCACAGATGTCTTGCACACTATTGAGTTGTTATAGACAACAATTATAAATGTACATGGTTTTCCCACATTAGACTGGCGTTTCATACTTACATTTGAATTCTGAATTTTGTCGTACAGGGATTGCTCAAGCCTGGCGGGTTGCTTAGATGAATGTGAATCATGGTTTGGTGTTGGCTCTAGATATGGAGCTGACACAGATTTTCTTAATTCTATGTGGTGAACAATGCCTGGGAAAATCTGGAACAGGAACAGATTTTAATATAACTTATCTTTTGACACTATAAGATTCAGTAATCAAAACAAAAACACATTGATAATTTCTATATTTTACAAGTTGCAAATTTGGGATTTACATTAACTTCATGTAATGTACAAGGAATATCCAATTTATTACATGCCTTATTGAAACAAATTTGATAATTAATTTAAAATAAGTCTGAGGTTGAACAACTATCTGCAATAGTGTTCCAGATATATTTATGCATTTTTAATCAGGTCACCAGACCATATATGGTCATGACATGTGTTGATCAGGTCTAGTGTGCAATGTCTTCAATATAACACTAAGGACGCTGGTAATCCATCGGCAACATTTGGAGGATTAAAAAAAGTGTGACGAGTTGTGTGAAAGCAAATTTCAATGTGAGATATGCATTAATTAATACTCTTTTGGAGGGGGCGTCAGGATGTTCAACTGCTATTTGAAACACATACTTTAAACTCATTAAATATTACTGTTTTAATTACCCTATTTTGGCAGACAAGTGAAATCCCAGAAATTAAATCAACATTTACAATTATATCAAAACTTATTGAACGAGAAAAATCATACTGTAAAATGACTAATTTTCACTGTTTAAATTTCGCTGATTTACCATTTCAGGCATATTCAGTGGGTTTTAAATTCACGGTTTTATCATTTAGATAATGTGTTCTATGCTAAATTTTACATATTCACTGGGTTTTAATTTAGCGCATTTTCCAGTCAGCGAAATAAGCAAAATTAAAACCCAGTGAATAATTAATCCTTTTACAGTAAATCCAGTGAAGATCAAAGTCGATAAAATAAATGAGCAAGAGTACACCTGATAATTACCTTATAGACCAGGACCTTGATGTGAGATTTAAGTCTCAGAGTTGCCCACTGAAGACAAACATCAGCATGTCTGCACAGATTAACACCTTGTTTCTGATCCCCCAACAGCAAATAGAGATCTGGCTGATTAGGCTTTCCTTGTCTACACACATAACGAATAATATCAGACTCCACGAAACAAAATGCAAACTGCTCTGCAATGTCTTTGCGTATATGATTCCGCAACTGTTGTCTTTTATTAGAAAATTGCGTCCTGTATTGATGATTATCAATCAATTCCAAACCTTCATAATCCCAATGGGAAGATAGATTATATGTCACATCAAGGTAGCTATTCTTGACTTCCGCTAATATTTCAGAGTGTTCTCGTGAATAGTCAGGAACTTTATTTGTACAACCTGGGAAATAAAAATACAAAGAACTCATTAACACACAATTATCCACAAGTTGGAATCAGTGAATAAAAATTCACAAATGTAATTGTTGAAGATACAAAATGATACGTTCACAGCTATAAGACGTTGACAACTTCTGGCAAAGAAATTGGGGGGCGTAGTGTAATCGACATCTTTATTTTCAGCAACTTGCACCTGTTGATAGGGGACTAGTGTAACCTGCACACTGCTAGATTGTTAGTTCTGGAATAGCAACAGCGCCCTCTAGTTAACATCACAGTAATACACATTTTTTTTTTCAATTCAATTTATTCCTTGCATGCAGAAAACAGAATTTGTTGTTTAATCATCATACTCTTAACACGAACTAATAGCCAAATAACAGATTTGTTATACATGTACAAGGTTAAAGGTCAGATACAGGAGACTGCTTTCATGGCACAGCGAGATTCAAATCTCCACTGGAAATGTGTTTGGGAGGTCTCGACCATAAACTCCACTGGCCAAGTTTACAAGCACAATTCATGTGGATATTAAAGAACCACATTATTTCTCAGACTCAAATTAGCAAATCAAATGTTATGTATGATTCAGATTTCCAGAAAATAAATGAAAACAAATTTTACATTGTGTAACCTGCCGCACAATTGAAATGCTAAGCATGAAATGTGTACCTTAACCATGGACTATTTTTTAGACACATGAAATTTAATTTTCGCTGGAATTAATTTTAATTTCACCGTTTTGAGCATATTTACAGGTATTGTATTTTCCAGAATAACCATGTGTTTCATTGGAATTTTACATGGGTTTAATCAAAGACTTTGGTTTAATTTAGTAGATTTTACTTATCAGAAACATTAAGGATGCGGTAGAGTTATCATGCTGTAAGTAAAAAAATTTTCCATGGGAAAATGCGTTTTGATCCATAAAAAACAATAGATTTTCTTGAAGCCCTTGTTCCTGGCTTTTTGAAAAAATTGGTCTGCGTCACAAATTAGACACGTGATTACTAAGTTAACATAGGTGAATAAAAATAAGTTTTGTGTAAAAACAGCAGGGGTTTTGTCAAAAAAGAAAGCTGAAAAATCAAGGCAGCATCAGCCCTGTCAATGCTGTGAGACTGTTAGAACATAGATCGCATACTTGTTTACAATGAAAGCAATTTATATTTTTCCTTTTATTTTACCCATAGACATGGAATTAAAAGGACTTTTTTTTTTCATTGCGAGAAGTTATTAAACAAGCAGCCTGTCGGCTGAGATAGCTCCGCTGCTAGCAATGCACATTGCAATTAAAGAACAGAAGACATCATTAGAAAATGAACAATATGTATCAATGCAACAGGACTTGCCGTTTTCAACAAGAATTAAAAAATATCACTTTTCACCAATAATAATAATTGAAGATATCACCACGAAATTAACAAATCTGAAAAAAGTCCACATGTCGTACCTATATATGTAATATAAAAGCAATCGGACTTACAGTTTTCAACAAGAAGTCAAAAATATCACTTTTTACCAAAAATGACAAAAATATTCACCAAAATTAGAGAATTCAAGATATCATCATGAAATGAACAAATCTGAGAGAGGTCTACCCAAGGTGCATATACACCAAGTATCAAAGCATTCAGGCTTGTAGTTTTCAATAAGAAGTCAAATAAGTAAACAAGCAGCCTATCGGCTGACATAGCTCCGCTGTTAGCAATGCACATTTCAATTAAAAAACTGAAGACATCAATAGAAAATGAACAATATGAATAGTATCAAAGCAATCGGACTTACAGTTTTTAACAAGAAGTCAAAAATATCACTTTTTACCAAAAATTGACAAAAATATTTACCAAAATTAGAGAATTGAAGATATCATCATGAAATGAACAAATCTAATAGAGGTCTACCCCAGGTACATACACACCAAGTATCAAAGCATCCAGGCTTGTAGTTTTCAAGAAGTCAACAAATAAATCATTGACACAGACAATCACTCATATGATGAGCTCCACTCGACAAAGTCGACAGCGGAGCTAAAAAAAAAGTCTGGAAGCTCCAATGACCCAACCTTTAAAGCGTAATTTTTACTTTTACTTAGAATTGGTTTATCAACAGCCATTGCTTCTTTCATCAATGCTCTTGGCCAAGCTATTAAAACAAATATGGCTGCACACAGTGGAAGCTGTGTTGGCTTGGATGTTGAGCCAATGCAGCAACGATATAGAGACTTACAACTCTGGAAATGGTGAATCATTATGTTATTATGCTTTATCGGTCTTGTGATCATCGAGAGTGGTGTAGTTTGTCTCCTCTGTTAAGTATTATGGAAGAGCAGATGCTATACCTCAGAGTTCATGTCGCTGCAACATATATCAGCTGAAATGAAACCGAAGAAATCACAAAATGCAAAATTCCAAGTGCCTTTTGGCAGTCATTTGTAACAAAGCTTTCTATTGGTTGGTAAATTTTCTATCGCACAACCACACGGTTATGAATGGAGTTACAGCACAGGGTCTGAATTAATTTAACATGTCAAAAACATCTTTATTTACAAGATAATTTGTTAAGGCAATTAACTAGAAAAAAAATATACATAATTTTACACCCTGTTAAATGTGTTTCCAGTACAATATAAAAGGGGAAAAAAATACACCACTATTAAGTGGTGTGATGAGGTGGGAATTTCAGAGCTAAATATGCATTCTCTTCACCTTTATTATAACTGAATATATATTGCGCAAGCTAATAAAAACAAACTAAATATAACAAGAAAAAACAAAGTTGTATGCACTTCCATTTTAAACATTTATATATGAATGGCTATGCACTTTGTAATAAACACAATGAATCTCTATTTAGCTAGATTATTATTTTAACAATCAAATTGTTTAAAAAGAATGCAATGTCACTGAAATGAAAACTCTAACATGGCATGTAGACTCACTGGACATGCACAATTTAGTAAGTGTTCATAAAATATCTTCTTTGCTGGTGTTCAAGTCGTGGTCTTCCGTAGTTGTACTGAAAAGCTCGCTCATTGAAGCAAGTTGATCGTTGTGCCCTATGATCAACAGACCGAGATGCAGTTGAAAATACATCCACATGCATTTCAGTTTGATAATTCGGTGATACAGTGTTAAGGGGTCGTGGAACATTATTTACTGGTGATACATCACGATTGCAATGATTCCAAAGGGCCCTTGACTGTTGCTTATCACAGAAATTATTTTTGAAGAATCTGTCATCTTGTCCAGGTGCTTGCGGATTGGTATAAAAGTTGCTTCTGTAGTCCTGGACAGTGCTATTATTGAGTGTGGAGCAGTGTTCAAAAGAATTCAAGCGAAATTGATGCCTGTTAAATCGTGATATATCACTCCAATCTTTTTCTCTCTCTCCTTGATTACAATGCCAAGAAGCTCCATCATCCCAATATATAGCTTTGGGCGTCATAGAAACTGACCTTTCATCGTACATTCCTTTTGTATGCCACAATTCATTTGCATTGATATAATTTCCACGCCCTCTCTCAACTGAAGACATTGCATAGTCTCGTCTTGGGTTCAAAGTTTGAGTTCCCAACTCCGCGACACCTCTCCCACAATTATTATAATTCTGTCCATAATTACTTTTACTATTCCTCCAAGATGGGTATACATTGCCTTTTGATCCAATGTTTTTGTAATGTTCCTTCACGTTTTTAGGCTTGCTACCATCTTTCTCACTTTTAGTTGCAGTAGTCTTGTACTTTGATGTCCGCTTAGAGTTTGTCATCTTAGTTTGCACATCTCCCTTCATAGAGGAAGAAGAACTCTCTTCTTTTGAAGGAGATGCGCTTATTTTCCTGACTTGCTCATTACAAGCCGTACTAGAAATCTTCTCCATTGGCTGTTTGACACACATTTCTTCATTACTTGATACACTTTCCTTCCCATCAGATGTACTTTGCAAAGGCTCACTATCTTTACATAAGTCACCAGATCTTTTTTTCTCAGAAACTATGCTACATACAATACTACTAATTAGATTTACACTTTCCTTAGAAATTTTATCTTTTGTATCATACATATTTTCATTACTCTCGTTTTGATTGGTATCTGTTGGTGCGACAGTATCCTTATTACTATCTAATTCGGGGCCATCCTTTGACAACACTTCTTTAGGGGTATTATTTAAATCTACATAACCAGCTGCTCTTCCTCTATCAGAATTACAATTTTCAAACTCTGCTTTGTGTTTGTGTTTGTCATTGGATTCATCTGATGTTTTGTCATTAAATGATGGTATAGATATTTCCTCAGCCGAGACTGAATTATTCAGAGATGCATTCGATCCAGAGTACTCATCAACAACAATCATCTCACCAGAGGTCTCATCTGTTATATTTGAACATATGGACCCCTCCGACTCTTCATACTCATCAACAACAATGAGTTCGTCTGGAATGCCACCATCCATGTTGACACAAGATGAACTACTGGAAACAGAAATTTCCAATTCATCACAGTTGTCATTATTGGCTTTTATTTTGGTCTCATCCTTGCCACCTGTGTTGTAATCCTTACTCAAACTGTCAAGATTAGTTTGCACAACATTAACTTTTTCCAATTTATCACAGCTGTTATTACCAACTCTTTCTTTTACCCCATCCTTGCTGCATTCGTTTCTTGAACTGTGATCAGATTCTTCGACAAGGACATTTGTCTCATTAGAGACTTGTACTGCAGTCTCATCTCTACCATCAGTACACTCCTGACTTGTACTGCCATCATGATTTTGTTTAACCGATACATCTACCAGTGGATCTCCACAAGTGCAATCTAAGCTCGAACTGACAACTGGTATCTGTGTGAAGGAAGGCTTTTCATCTAATGTGCCAAATTGGGAGTCTTTTAAAGTGTCAGTTGGTAGTTTCCCTATATCTGATGACATAATTGATGAATTTTCAATTAATATTTCCTGATCTTCACTGTCAAGCAGAGTGTGCATGCACCCACTTCTTGTTTGAATAAGAGCAGCACAGTCTTTATCAGTGCTGCTGATGCAGGAGGTACTACAGTCATCAACAGAATCATCAAGTTCATCATTTAACTTTGTTGATGCAGTAGAAGGGAACTGAAAGATTTCATTTCCAGTAGTGAATGCATCTGCTTCAAGCTTTTGCTCATCAAGACATGGAGTTCCTGGACTACTAAGCCAAACTTCATCATTATAGTCACTGTCATAATCCTCTGGTTTACTTTCACATGTATCAGTTTGTTCTTTGGACTTTGGTAGAAACTTGTAAACAGGGTGCTGTGTATTAATGCTGTACATGAACACGCATTTTCCTGATGCATCCTCAAGGTCAGAAGGAGCTGCAGCTGTAATAGTTGGGGCAAGATATTCAGCACAACTGTTGGCGACATCAGAAATAGGTATCATTTTATTAGGTTCATTGCTCGTCATTTCAGGGTTTGTACCACTAATTTTGTTTGAAGCAGAATTGGCCCAGCTGAATCGTCATCATCCGAATATTCAAGAATCTGTTTATTTTTGTATTTCCTCCTACGTAGCCTAATAATAATTTCAGAGTTTGTATCACTATCTGTGTCAGTAGAAGAAACTCTTCCATTAAGGCTGTTATCGGAGTCGGTTGTAACAATTTCAGTATACTTCAGGTCTTCCAAGACTATTTTGCACATCTTTGCTGGTGGGGACTTACAAGAGCTCTTCAGTCTGACCTTACATTTGTCCTTTCTACCTCCATTTACATCAGAGTCAAAGTTGTTCATCATTCCCTTGAAGGCAATTTTGTTAACTTCACAAATGTTATTTCCAGCAACACTAACACTTGTTTCGACAGGATTGCAATATGAACTAAAAGACTCCTGAAATGATACATGGTCATTGGAATAATGGTCGGTTTTTGCCTTTGCTTGAGCTGGAACTGTTTCACTAGATGGCTCCAAGTCACATAGATCCATTAAAGGAGATTTTTCTGATGAAATCATTTTGTTTGTAGATTGGTCAACTTTCAAACAATTGGGAACACTGCAGAGCTGCTTCAACAGAGGTAGACTTTTCACCGTTTCATCATGATTACCAACATATGATTCAAATTCAACGTCAGACTTGTTAAATATTAATTCATTATTCTCCTTATCCACACAAGAGTAGGGAAGCTTCTCTGTTTCATCCGACACTTTAAACTGTTTTCTAGACTTCAGTTCTTTCATGTTTTTCTGATTCACTCGTTTTTTGTCTTTATTACTAACTTGTGGGCTGTTCGAAGATTCCAAGATCGAAACACTGCTCTTCCATTTCTGCCACTCTCGTCGTAGGGATGCTATCTCACTGGTATTTTTTATTGTTGACTGAAAGTCTTTCAATTTTTGCAACAAAAGCTGTTCAGTCTTCACAAGCTCAGTTTTTGCTTGAGACACTGGCATGTTTCCATCCACAAGAAATTGTCTTGAATTGTCATCCCTTTGAGCATGTAGTATCTGCGATTTGGGTCCACTATTGCCGTCCTCAGATTTCTGCAAATTCGGCAGTGCAACAACATGTGATTCATTTTCTGGCAGCTCCTCTCTATTTTCAATTGTCAGTGTTCTACAGGAGTTATATGGCTTTGTATTGTGATAGTACATCCGTTTTTCTTCACATAGAATGTGTTTTGGTTGATTACAGTTGCAACATAGAGTTCTTTCTGTTAAACATTTACTTCTTGGATCCTGTATATTCAAATAGGGCAACTTATCTAAAGGTATTATTCTGGGCTCGGTGGTAAAGACATTTGAACTGACGCAATTGGAAATCTTAACTTTTCTTGTTCCAATTGAATCGATAGGCATCAGATTGTATACACCGTGTGATGTTATTGAACAGGTACATGTAGCATGTGATGAAGGTTGAGAGTCATCATCTGATACACAATGTTTCCCTGGACTTATTATGAATTCACAGGCGGATATCAACTTTGTCTCGCGAACATCAGTGTTTTCCTGAAACTGGAGTACTTTTTTCACATTATGGACTTTGACAGGCACCCTTTTCTCTTGTTTTGAGATTTTCTGTGGAGTCGATTCATTTGTCATTTTATCCAAGAAGGTCTGCTTTTCTTGTTCACTTAATGTGAAGAACCTAAATCCTTTCACTCCAGGTTTATGTGAACCCGAGTCTGAAGTACATACTCTATGTGCCAACTTTGAATTCAGTTGCCCACTGTTACCATGCCTTTGTTCCAAATTGCAGTCTTCATCACCAATCGTTTTTTCTTGTGGCAAAGATGCATCATTCACAGTATGCATTGTCCAGGCATTTTTCAAACTTTTTCTGAGTGATTGGAGGAATATTACACTTGCTTTCTCAATTTCCTTAGTGTCATGCTCTAAGTTACCAACTTCAAAACAAGAGATTGATGTCTCGCTTGTGCTTATATCACAAGGTAAATCTGATTGCAATTTGGAGGAAACAAATTTATCTGCATTCATAGGGTGGTTTACATCAGAAGATTTGGTCAATTTTAACTGATATATTTTCTCCAAGGATTGAGAGATCACAGACTCAGTATGCTGTTCACCAACTTCCTCATGATGGTACACACTATTTAAATATTTGGTTGTTTTTAAAGCACCAAGCTTGCAACGTTGGGGTCCTTTTGAAAGTTTGGTTAATTGTTCTCCTTCACAAGATTTTCTCTTTTTGCTTCCCTTATCTTGTGGTTCAATGCTAGGTCGTTTCTGTCTTGCAGAAAGTTTAAAGGGCCTGTCCTTCCTCTGCACCCAAACTACACTTGCTATTGTGAGTTTTTAGTGAGTGTGTGTGAATAGGTAAACCAACCATTTCTTTTTCTATATCTTCAGAAACACTGCTATATGGCTGATCCGATATTGTAGAATGTTTGGATTGTTTTCTTTCATTATTAACATCCTGTAGTGATAGATACGTAGAAATAGACGATTCAGTTTTCTGTTCATTGGCATCAGGAACACAGTAACTACATTGCATATTTGGTAACACACCAGCGATTTCGTTTTCTGAAGTAATATGATTGGGTGGATGCTTTTGCTCAACAATCTGCTCATGGGTACATTTATCATCTGTAATTGCTGTGTTAGCATAATCTTTATGCTCATGTAATTGTGAAACTCCACAAATGGGGTTTGTTTCTTCTTTTCTTTTCAACATAGCAGAAACGCAGTCACTGCTCAGCGTAGGAGAAAGACCACAATGTTGCTTTGCCACTGAATGAACATGCTTCGATGGAAGTCTCTTTTTTACCTTCTTAAGAGTAACTTCACTGAAATGTTTAGATGCATCAGAGACAAGAATTCCCATTAGTTCAGCCCTACTATTTGGCACGACAGTTGTAGGTTTTGACAACAGAATATGCTGGGTAGAATGCTTTTTTTGTACATTTACACACTTTTCACTATTAATTGATTTCTCTACGATATCTGAATCCATGTGTGGATGGGACCTTTTCTTTTTTATCACACTACCATCAGGAACACAATCTTTTGAAGATGCGCCATTATTTTGATGTTTTGCCGATGATGAAATATGCATCTTGCCATGGTTATTTTTCAGAATTCCTTTTGTAATATTGCTTTTATCACAATCATCGTCTTTCTTATGCAGTTGTGATCCTGAAATAAGAGAGGTTTCTAGCGTCTGTTTTTTCTCACGACTGACACTACTCTCAAGAACTGATGTACTGTTATACTGCTTTGTTGATGATCGTGCATCATACTTCTTTTCGACAGTGGAGAGCATGCTCATCAATCTTTTCCCCATTGTTGAAATCACTAATGTATGGCTGTGATGTGGCACCAACAGAAATTTCAACTAACTTTTCTTCATTATTATTTGTCGATTTTCTTTTCAGTTCAACAGGCATGCTTATATTTGTTGATTTACTACTGTTTTGCTGCTTCCCCGAAGATGATACAATATTCCTTTTTTCAGTCTTCTGAACAGAATGTCATCAACATCAATATATTTCTTATGATTATCACATCTTCTGTGTAGCTGCAATGTTGTGCCAATGGATATTTTGCCATCCTTTTCTTTTTCATTTGATTTTCGATATCTTCTTAACTGCTCAGATATGTCAACATTTGTTGATGTACTGTTTTCCTGCTGTGCCATTGTTAATGGAGCAACACACCTCTTTTCAGTGTTCTGGAGAAAATGCTCATCACCATCAATCATTTTTTTAGGGTTATAACTTTCTTGTGTCTGCAATGTAGTGTCAATGAATATTACGTCTTCCTTTTCTTCATTGTTATTTGACGATTTTCCTGACTTGTTTTTCAATTGTTCAGGTTTGCTACTTACAACTACTGGTTTTTCAGTTGGCGAGTCATGTTTAAAATATTTCTTGTTACTTCTAAAGTTGACGACAGCATATGGCAAGCAACTGCTAGGCATCTTCTTGAGAAGGGACTCATTATCATATTCATAGAAATACACCTGAGTGGAAAAGACAAAATACAGTTATAAGTAAAATTATTGGAAGCCAAAATAAATATTAAGGATAAAATTGTGAAAGCAATCTGATCACAATATTGAAGTTAACACATCTTTCCTATCCCTACATGTGCATACCGTAAGTATTCAGTATCACCGTAAAAAGTGTTTTTCAACGCTAAGTTTATCTTTCAAAAACAATTAATTTCTTTAAATATTTAAAGTAAATCATGCTGTTTTTCCACCAAAAATCAATGCCAAAATATATTACTACAACATCAGTAAATCTCTTCCATTTTGCTTTCGCTATGAGATCGAGGAACAGTCATTAAAATATTTAAATGAGCTGTGGTAATGACTGCAACTATCAATATTTTATTACATTTCTTATTATCCATAAAATATAACTTTTCTTTGAAGAAATAATATGTAACCACAATTTAGTGTATTAATAATAATTCCTAAAATCATAATTTTTCATCATACCATTGATCTAATGATCTAACAAACTGGATACGGTGTCCAACAAGTTTATTTTTATTACATTACATGTGAAAAATAATTCCATGCATAATAAATAACATTGTTTTATGGTGTAACTAAAATGGAGAATGAATGGAGAATGAATAATTAACAATTTGCACAGATGCCATCTAGCCTTGCAAGTTCTTGAGATATTCACATATGTAAACTAAAAAGTATTCAGATTTGGATAATTATCCCAATGCATCTGTGTATCATTGAAATTTGACAACAGTTCTTGATGTATTACTGGAATAACTGGTTATTGCCTAGATATCAAAATTGGATATTTAATGTGCACAGATTTTACCCAAAAGTCGGTACATTGTCCATAAGCATCTAATAAGCAAGTGATAAGTTTCATTTAAATACATCCCAAGTACATTAAAATGGCCACCATCTTGAATGTTATTATCAAACAAGTGCATGTGCAACATCACGCATGATGCACATATAAAGTCTGAACGTCAGAAATAGCATTTGGCTGCCATTCTGCCATTTTGAAAAAGATTTGCAGCAAGGCTGTTAAATGCAAACACCACAAAGTTTGAATTAAATCTGATCAGGCATGTCTGAACAGGGATTAAATGATTGCAACATACAAATTTAGATATAGCAATGCAGTGCCACATGATCTAATCCTTTTCACTGTACATTAAACTTCAACACAATGGCTGCTGGCTGCATCATAATTTAAAACTTTTATCAACTTTCCTAACACGCAAAGCAATTTAATAAATAAATAATTAGGTATGGATTCTTTTCATCATTATCATACAGGTTAGATATTCTGAACTTAAACAGGAATTTAAGGTCGGCATACTTACTAAAGAACGGGCAAGTTGTTTGTAGATGTGACTATCTTTTCTGGGTGCACGATTTGACAAATAGCAGTCATGTTTTTCAGTTGGTTTGGCAGAAGACCCTGGTACCACTTTCTTTACACAACCAATTAGAACCTAAAATTATTATAAATAATTAATAACAATGTCTGGTTCATGAAAAATAAATTGTATATGTAGTAGCATTAATTATATTTATTTGAGAATGATAGGAAGGTCCATGGAGTCTGTCAAGACTGTACTAAGGAAACTCCTGCTGGTGGAACAGCATACAAATTTAACACCATTTTGGTAACCCAATTTAAATCAAAACAAGCTTTAAATTCAGCCAGTGATTAGATACAAACCTATGCAGCTCCTGACAAGGAGTTTCACTCTGGGCCACAATCGAATTTCATTCAACCACTAAGCCAAATGACATTCAACTCGTCATTACCACAATGTATTCACATTAAACATTCTACCCCACTATTAGACAAGTCATTGTTAATGACCAGTGGAATTAGGGGAAATGTTATTCATGCCAAAATTAGTTAACATGCACCAAAAGTTAAGGTAATAATTTAGAGTGAATAACTGGCTGGCCTAGTATTAACAGAAATTAGATGTATTTAATGACTTCCAAAATCATACTATATGGTCAGAAATTAAACAGGATACGATATTCATGCATTTTTTGTATCCAAACTGAATTTCATTTGTCCAGGCTCATTTACAGAGATATAGTATGGTATGGTATGGTATGGTATGGTCAAAAAGCAAGATTGCAGGCAGTCAACCATCTTTAATCCAATTGTGTAACTAATTGTTATGGTCATGTATCATGGACATGACATGTAATTTGAAGAGAAAAAATATATTTTCAAAAAAACAAGATGGCAGCAAGCTGGTCATTTTTAATTTAAACATGAAATGAATCATCATGGACATGCATCTTACAGCAAGTCTCAGATGTATTGGGGCAGCCAATTTGCAAACTTGCTTGCGAATTGGCTAACTGCTCTGGTTTTGACTAAACAGTTGGCTTATGATCGCGTCCAATCTGGGCAAGTGTATATTGCATTACGGGACATAAAATGCTTTTATGTAGCCTGGTACATTTCTGGATTCAGAATGATTTTCGCGAGACAGGATAATGCAAACAGTAGTTTCCCTGGTCAGCCTGAGAATGGCCACAGTCAGCTGGAGTACAAGCGATAATACGATGAACGCGATTAATCTACCGATATTTATTATATGGGGTAGCCATCATGAACACTGCTTGAAACTAAATAGAGAAACAAGTTGAAAAACAGTTTCCTATAAATCAAGGAGAAAATCATGGTAACATTAAGCCAACAGCTAAAAAAAAAATTGACCCCATTTGTCGTTTTTGTGTGGGCAATGCCTAGTATGCAAACACCTCATTACACTAAGAACATAGAATGCTTTCCCTAGTATATTTGAATGCAAAATCGACGTTCAACTTCAAGACCGTCGCTGATTAGCTCCTAAAGTATGACGACCGTCCCTTACTGTTATATTGATTCTCCCAGAGTGGGCATGACCAACAGACAGCGGAGGTGATATTCGAAAGTCAACAGTTTAGTCAAAACCAAAACAAGTAGCCAATTCGCTAGCAAGTTTGCAAATTTACTGCCTCAATACTTCTGAGACTCGATGTAACATGTATAATGTTTGTTTCAAATTTGAATGAAAACTGACAAATCCTTCTCAAGATACCAAGATTTAAAAAAAAAAAAAAACAAGATGGATGCCAGTCAGCCATAATTAATATGATTCTAGAACAAATTGTCATGGGATGTATGTAATCTAAAATGTTCAATGCATATATCTAATTTGGACAAAAAATGACAAAGCATGCATAAGATACCACATTTTCAAAAAAATACAAAATGGCAGCCATTCGGCCATCCTGAATTGAATCAGTAAAGCACTAAATGTGCACATGTTCCAGATAAAGTACGAGGCACATGCAAAAAATGAACAGATTTGGTCGACAGGATTGTGAAATACGACTCCAGACGGACAGTGACCAAATTATAAGTCCTTGTTCTGACTTCATTCGAACAGTG